TTGAGGGAGTACTTGAGTGGAGGCCCAATGTCCTTCTGCTACCTTAATACTAAACCTATAAATATATGCACAGAGATCTATTTCCTCATCCTCATAAATATATTTGCATATGTACATGTCTTTATCTAGACCCTTGATATTTTATAAATTATTATTATTTTGTCATGTGGATGCTTGTAATTGGCTCCCCTTTTCTACCCCATCTTCCCTCCACCCTCCCGGAATCGCCACTCTCACCACTGCTCCTGAAGGGTTCATCTGTCCTGGATGCCCTGTGTTTCCAGTTCCTATCTGTACCAGTGTACATCCTCTAGTCTAGCTGGATTTGTAAGGTAAAATTGGGATCATGATAATGGGGAGAGAGGAAGCATTAAAGAACTAGAGGAAAGTTGTATGTTTCATCGGTGCTGCACTGCACCCTAACTGACTCGTCTCTTCCCCGTGACCCTTCTGTAAGGTGATGTCCAGTTGCCTACAGATGGACTTTGGGTCCCTACTTCACACTCCCTCTCATTCACAATGGTATGAGTTTTTGTTCTGTGATGCCTGATATCTGATCCCTTCAACACCTTGTGAGCACACAGGCTGGTGTGCTTCTTCCATGTGGGCTTTTTGTCTGGTGGGGTACAGGAAGGCAAGGGCTGACCAAAGCACAAGTCTAAAAGCAAGCCAGAACAGTCAGCACCAGATAAGATAACCGGTATCAGGATGTAAAACCAGATGCTCTAGATTCAAAGAAAGCTGCAAGGAGTCGACAACCAATTCTCCATGTAGCCCAACCTTACCCATAAATTCCGGACAATACTTACCGTCCCTTTTTAAAAAACTCAAACCCCTGACTACTGGGTGTGATTTCCTTGACCTGTTGGCTTAGGTCACAGAACCCCGTCCGGAAGTTCCCCCAATAAAGCTTTTTCTGTTTTTGCTCTCCTTTGCCCTATACTTTGTCTCCCCGTGACTCAGCTTCGCCTTTACATTTGAAGCTGAAGCCCAGGAGAGGTAAGGGCAAGGGGCTCCGTGCCATCCCAGCCCTGCTTCGCCTGGCACGTAGCCCACCCCTCCTCCTCAAACCTCTGGAAGCCCACCTGGATGGGTGATTTCTGGTCAGGATCTCTCTGTGTATATTCGTTTGGTCTTGTTTGTCGCTCTGGACACTGAGGACCAGCAAACTCATATGGGAACTTAGGGTCCACAGGAGGCTAACTAGCTGAAAGCTCTGAAAAGCAAGTATGCTAGGAAGCTGGACGTGGCACTGCTGCAGGGGTTTATTCTGGAACCCCAGTACCAAGGGGAGCTGGAAATAACTGCCTTTCCCTGAAAGGGGTGCGACGATAAGGTCAGTTTCTCATGTCCATCTTTTCTCTATGTCTATCTTCTCTCATGTGGCCTTTTTTCTCTGTTTATTTCCTGGGATTCCTGCCGATAACAGGACTCCTGGCACTAGGCCTGGCAGTCACTGCACCTTCTGACTGGACTAGGGGACAAAGGGTGTGTCTGAGCTTTTTCTACCTGTTCATGTGTTTTGTGCTTGCAGCTCTGTGGTGCTTTCTCTAAAACTCTTCTACTTTTTTTTCTACTTCCTTTCCCCCCCATCCTGAACAAAGGCCTCTGATCGCCTCCATTCATGGGCCATGAAGCCAGGCCACTCCCCCTCCTCAGCTCCCCTTGGTGTCTTTCACTGATCCAAAGTCCCTGTCTTCTGGTTAAAGCCGCAGGCCTGCGCCAGGGAACCTTCCTGTTCTGGAGAGTCTAGGACTCTACCCCTGGGTCCCTAACTAACTGGGACGCCTCTCAGGGTAACTGGGCCACCTCCGTACTGACGGGTGCGGGCGGTGACCAGGAGACATCCTTCTCTGCCCATACCCCCTGCAGTTTAAGATGTAATGCCCTCAAGAGACAGCCCCTTGGGATGCCTGTTGGCTAACCTTGCTAAATTGGGCCTGGGTCCAGACATTCGCCTTAAGTGTCTGGTCTTTTTCTGTAACTGAGTGTGGCTACAATACCAATTGGACAACAGGTCGCGTTGGCCGGAACATGGTACTTTTGATTTTAACATTCTCCGCGACCTCGACAATTTTTGTCAGCAAACCCACAAATGGTCAGAAGTCCTGTATGTTCAGGCCTCCTTTTTCCTTTGCTCCGCCCCTCCCTCTGTTCCTCATGCCTGCCTGCACAAGTTCTCCTGGCTCAGGTCCCCATGCCTGCGCAACTCAAGACGGAGGCGTCAGCTCCTTTGCCATCTGTTGCTCCTGTAAGCCTAAGTCCATCGGACTCCCTGAAAGCTCTCCCTCCTTCCCATCTTCCCCCTTACTCCACATCTCCCAAAAAACTGCTTGCTTCTTCCCAGAACTCTTCCTCCCAGACATCCTCCCAGACTCCGCTTTCCCAACCACCACGCCCCCCACCCCCACCCCCGGCTCCTCTGTTGCCATCTCCTGTTGCCAGCCACACCCGTTCCCACCACCCTCTTGTCTGCCCCCTCCGTGAAGTGGCAGGAGCTGAGGGACCATTCAAGTCCACGTGCCTTTTTCCTTAACAGACCTAGAAAAGCGTCTATGTATTTTCTCACAGGATCCTACCACCTTTATTAAGGAATTCCGATACCTAACGCAAGCTTATGATCTCACCTGGCATGAACTATATGTAGTGTTAGCCTCCACCCCCACCCTGATGAGCAAGAACGCATTTTCACAGCCGCTCAGCAGCATGCAAATCAAGTCCATTTAACCAATGTTACCATGCTAGTAGGCTCCCAGGCTGTCTGAGTGAGGAACCAAGTTGGACTTACCAGGTAGACACCCCCAAGGGCCAGGAAGGCAGGGCCCCCTGGGACCGCATGATACAGTGCTTACTGGCCGGCTTGCAAGCCATCTCACAAAGCAGTAAACTGACAACCTGCGAGAGATCACCCAGCATCCTGGTGAGAACCCAGCAGCTTTCCTTCCTTACATGCCGAACTGAAGCCTTAACTCGGTATACTAGGCTAGACCCTACTTCCTCAGCTGGGGCTATGGTG